ACACACACACACACACACACACACACACACACACACACACACACACACACACACTCGCATGAACAGAATCAGTTTGAATATAAAGAAAAAAACGTTTTCTCGAGAACCAGAGAATGTTTTTGTCACATTGAACAAAATAAACAAGCAGAGCAGACGTTCCATTAGTTTCTTTAATAATTCTCTTTCCAGTACAGATGCTGCATCACCTTTACCTTTTTTGCTGCTATTTTTTAAATAGTTTTATTATTTTTTTAGGAATAACTATCAATAGATCTGAACACAGTGAGCGATCTGCGAGGGGCGGGGCTGGAATGATTTTCATTTTTTGCTATAAAAACGTAAGGAATGTCGTATCAGCCGATTATCAAACAACAAAAAGATCCTGATTGATCAATACTGGTCCATAAAAAATATCAAAGTTACATCATCATTTTTACCAACACGGTAACAGAGTGAACACTGGCGAGTAAAATACTAGTAAACTGGCAGCAAGTACTGAAACAGAAGAAGTACTGGCACTTTGTTGTACTCAGAGTTAAAGTACTTTTACTGCGGAGGAAACTGAACCAGGACTCGTTCGTCTGTTCACGTTCAGAGTTTAAAGTGTTGTGACCTCGGACGAGACGCAGGAAACAAAACGGCTCGTTTTAGCAGAATCTGTTTCTTCTGAATTAAATCAGAAAATAAACAATGAACATCTTTGATGGATCACAGTAGTGAATAAAGATGGACGCCATGACGGTTCCCTAAAATGAAGCCAAATCATCTTGATTGCCCCCTAGTGGCTGGCTACAGGTCAAACTCATCCTCCTCCATGTTAGCAGATGGGACACGTACATTTGATACATGAAGTGTTTTCAGACGTGTACCTTCACTCGTTCCGAGACCCCATTCATACCTGCTGCTGCGTCTCCACATGTGATCAGATGTCACTTCCTGTTCTATAAGTTAACATGATCATCTGTTCTCAAAGAGAAGATTCAGGTTTTTATCAAGACTTACGACGACTGTGTGTGTGTGTGTGTGTTCCATAATGACATCATTCATTACGGAACACTTCATTTAACTTCGATGAAACAGTAAAATGAGAACTATATGAAAATAATACTGTAAATAAACCAGTGAGTGTGAAACAGTGAGAAAAGTAGAAATACTTTGGTTCAGGGTTGTACTTCATTGTGAGAGGACACATTGACAAAAGCATGTGGACATGAGTGTCAGACAACCTCAGGTTCTACAGTATCAATCTCTGTTCACACTCACACAGGTCACATGACCGTTCACCTACACTGGTCATGTGATGTAAACAGGAAGAAGATAGTCTGCAGTTGGTTGCTTAGCAACAGAAACTCCTCTGAAGGAGGAGCAGTGATGGTGAAGAGTCAGAGCAGGGACGAGGTGGAGCTGTCACTGACAGGAAGTGTTAGCGACGCTTTGTGTTCACCGCTGGTAGTCGAGTCATGTGACTGATGAGAACCAATCAGAAGAGAGAGGCATCAACGTTTACTAAAGTCTCAGTTTGTGTTCAGACTAAAACACAAAACCAGAGTTTTCAAAATAAAACGAGATCAGTTCACACGAGTCTCTGATTCAGAGGCTGGAGAACTCCAGATGTAACCATAGCAACAGTGATGAGTTTTAAACTATATGTAACCGTGTAGACGAAACGTCAGATGAGACAACAGCAGGTGTGAACAAGTAACACTTTGTGAAACTCTGGATCATTCACAGTGAACGAGGTTTCGCTCAGTTTCATAAAAGGAAGTTTCTGAACCTCAGACGTGTTTGTGCTTCTGTTTCAGTGAAGTACTTGAAAAATAAGTACTGAGAAAGAGAGAGACAGAGATCACTCTGACCAGTTTACAGATTATCTACAAACCCCTCAGTTACTCAGTCGCCCACAGACACAGTACATAACACGCGCACACACACACACGCACGCACGCACACACGGACACACACGGACACTTGCATAAGAGCAAATCAGTCGGTCCACCCTGCCACATATATAAAGAGCACAAAAGGTATTAAAATGTAAGAAAAATTCATAAGGAAAAAAATGTATAGATAGTATTTATAAAAAAAAGGAATAATACTTTGTTTTCCGCGAGGTTAAAGGGTACGGACATTCTCTTAGCTACTGTCACTGCCCACGGTGCTGCTGCTGCTGCTGCTGCTGCTGCTGCTGCTGCTGCTGGCCGTGTCCGCTTGTTCTCGTTTGTGGATCTGCTCGTGTGCTTTGAGATGACCCGACTGGCTGAAAGTCTTCCCACACTGAGGGCAGGCGTACGGCCGCTCGCCCGTGTGGATCTGCTGGTGTGCCTTCAGGTGGCCGAGGCGACCGAAGCTCTTGCCGCACTGCGTGCAGCCGAACGGCCGCTCTCCCGTGTGGATCTTCTCGTGGGTTTTTAACACGCCGGAGTTGCTGAAAGTCTTTCCGCACTGTGAGCAGGTGAAGGGCTTCTCGCCTGTGTGGATCTGCACGTGGTTGCGGTAGCTAGTCTCCTTGGTGAAGCTCTTGCCGCAGTGTTGGCAGCAGTACGGCCTCTCGCCCGTGTGGCTCAGCTGGTGAGCCTTCAGCTCCTTCGACTGGCCAAAGCTCTTCCCGCAGGTGACGCAGATGAACGGGCGTTCGCCAGTGTGCAGCCGCTGGTGTGACCGCAGGTCGTCAGCCTTGGTGAAGCCTTTGGGGCAGTGAGCGCATACGTACGGCTTCTGGCCCGTGTGGATTAGCTGGTGTCGCTTGAGGTTTCCCGCCTGGCCGAAGCTCTTGCCGCACTGCGAGCAAGTGTACGGGCGCTCCCCGGTGTGGATGCGTTGGTGGGTTTTCAGGTTTCCTAGCGTGCTGAAGTTCTTCCCACATTGTGTGCAGGAGAAAGGCTTCTCCCCCTGCATGTTACGAGGTTTTCGCACCGTTGGACTCTGGGATTTGGTTGTGATGACCAGTTTCCCTCCCGTCTGCCCGGTCCCCGTCGCCTCTGCAGACGCCTTCCCGTCCTCTGTCGGCTGTAGCTCGTACAGCGCCCCACCTCCAAACTCAGGGTCCAGTTTGCCAATGCCGTCCATGAGCAGGGTGTCAGGGCGGAGCTTGTTGAGCTCGGTGCGGAGCTCAGCCATGTGGATGGACTCCAGGCCGTTGTGCTGCAGGTAGGTGGACATGGCGTTGGATTCTGGGTACTCCGATTTCAGGGAGCTCAGCTCTGTGGTGTAGTAACACTGCAGGTCCACATGGTGGTCCGACTTAATGTACTCCAGAGTGTCCGTCACCTGCAACAAGAGAACGAAACGCTTCAGTCAGTGTGTTTTTATTCACCGCTGATAGTCGAGTCATGTGACTGATAAGAACCAATCAGGAAGAGAACGTGAGCATCTGTGGAATTGTTTACAAACGTCTCTGTTTCTGTTCATCCAAACTAAAACACAATCCGGAATTTTCAAACCAGGACGAAACCAGCAGCATAACCATGGCAACAGTACATTTCATAGAGCGTCCGTCATTTTATTCGTCTACGATCTCAGATTTTTCTCTGCATCAATAAAGAAGATACAGACTTTGTTGACTGGTTCTGTCGTCTTGGATTAGTCCAAAGGTTGATGTCTTATTATAAATATATATAATGATACATCAAGTCAGGGGCTGCGTCCTTCACACGTCTGGACCTTCACAATTCCAAGGCTCCTCTTCCACCCCAGAGCAGCAGAGGCTCAACATATCCCATAATTCATTGCACTTCAGTGACAAACTCTTTTGGAGGTAATGGCATCCAAAGGGGGGCGAAAATGTCAGAATGTATTTTTAAATGAACCCAACCGACCAACCAACGGTGCACATGGTAAAAAAACATTTTTTCAACATTTTGAATCCACCTAAGAATGTTTTGGTATAAGTTTTGTTGCTAGGCTACGGTTGTAAAGGTGAGACACGATGGTGACGCAATAGGAAGAACACATATCATTTCGGTTCAGCTGACACGATGTACGCTGCCGTCGGAGGAAGCAGTCGGCTGCGTACACAAGGGTCCGTCCACAGGACGCAGCCGCTGCATTGAGACACAGCTACTGTGACCAGATGTGAGTTGGGTCTATCATTACCTGGGAGATGTAGTCAAACACAGAGCTGGGCTCATAGTGCGACTTGTAGTCCAGCTCTGTGACGTCGCTGTGGTGAAACGGGCCCAGTTGGTGGTTGCCGTGGAGACCGTGATGCTCGGACTTGATGTAGTCGAGGCCGCTGATCTCCATCTTGATCTGGTCCTGGCCCAGTTCTGCGGTGGACAGCGACTGGATCTCCGACAGGTCCACGGTCCTGATGGGCTCCAGGTCTCCGTCCTCCGGCTCGCTCTTCACACACGGCAGCATCACTAGAGGCTCTGCGATTTCCGCCGCCAGTGAGTTGAGTGTGGGCGTCGGGCAGTCGGAGGAGAGGAGAGCCAGAGATGGCGTTGGGGCAGAGTCGCCGGCCCCGGGGTCGCAATCTGTTTGCAGTGAGGGGTCCAGGGGTGGGGGAGGGGAGCTGCAGTCAGGGGGCAGACCAAGACTCAAACACTCGCTCTCTAAGTCTGTCATGGTGAGGGGCGGAGCTTATCCTCCTCACCTCACTCGGGTCAACACCTGAAGTATCGTCGAGGTCTGCCTTTGTCGTCCTCCTCCCTGAAGCCGTCTTCCACTCCCCCCTCTGTCGCTTCAGAGATCTGACCTGAGAGAGGAGGGGCTGGGGGGCCGTGTCGCTGACTCCTCTGGGAATCAAACGCTGTCACCGGCCACACCTGACCAGGCTGCAGAGACACAATGGAGATCACAGTTAGTTTTTATTCATCATGTCAATCGCCGAACATTAACACCTGAACCCACAACGGGTTCTTCAAGGTCGGCGGCTCGAATCCCAACCAATGCCGAAGTGTCGTAGGGCAAGATGCTGAACCCCAAAGAACGTCCCCTCAAAGATGCTGAACCC